TGTCCAGCGCACACACTTGGCATAATTGTTAATTGAAAGTGGCTGGCAAAGCTGTTGCGTACACTCGAACTTTTAGCTCCTGCTGCCCAATTACGAGCACCGACACGCGCGGCCCAATCAATCAACTAGACAACAAGCCCTGAGCACGGGTGGTAGGCAGGGGGGCGCGATGGGGGCATAGTAGCAGGCATAGCGGCGATCGATCAATCAATCAAACGAACACAAACAAAGATAGTCTCCCACACACACACAAACACGGACACATGTTGCAAGCTAAGCGCGAACAAATGTCAAGTTAGGTGACACATTGAAAAGGTCAAAGGGCAATTGCGCGGAAGCAGGAGCGGGCCAAAGAGTTACACAGTTCGACTCCTACATGAAGAATTTATAGAATTTCAATAAAGGCGTTGACTGAAATGATTCCCCATTTAAGCTGCCAAAGGAAAGGAGTAAGCCAATGAGCCGAAAGGCAACCAGCTATTAAAGGAAGAGGAATGTATGACCTTGAAATACAATAGAAGAGCGAAATTAAGTAATATATTTAGGCTGAATAAAGGAGATTGCTGTCAGCCTAATGAAGGCCGAATTAGAAATTAGAAAGGTAGAAATAGCCTGCGCAGCTAAGTGTCGAAGCAGAACCACTGTTTCTAATTAAAGTAGTATGCATTGCGTTAGCCAGAATTTTAAAGTTGGAAAGGAAAACAAGACTTCAGCATGGTTTTAAGAGTAGTCCCATAGCTCTAATCGAAGCAATAGAACGATCAACTAATATAGCATAATCTAAATAATATAAAAGTAAAATGTTGAGCCTTTGAATTATTTATTTTATTTAATCGAAGCAATAGAACGATCAACTAATATAGCATAATCTAAATAATATAAAAGTAAAATGTTGAGCCTTTGAATTATTTATTTTATTTAATCGAAGCAATAGAACGATCAACTAATATAGCATAATCTAAATAATATAAAAGTAAAATGTTGAGCCTTTGAATTATTTATATTATTTATTTATTTATTTATTTATGTCAACAAACATTGACTGTCAACATAGGAAATATATAACAATTATAAAAAGCATCTTATAAGCTAGAAAAGCCTAAGAAGGAGAAATCTAATCAAATTACAAAAATATCAAATTAAGATAAGATGAGATGAGATAAGATGAGATAAGATGAGATAAGATGAGATAAGATGAGATAAGATGAGATAAGGTGAGATAAGATGAGATAAGATAAGATAAGATAAGATAAGATAAGATAAGATAAGATAAGATAAGATAAGATAAGATAAGATAAGATAAGATAAGATAAGATAAGATAAGATAAGATAAGATAAGATAAGATAAGATGATGGCTTATGATAGGAAACCTTATTATTTTTAAGGCTTAAACTGACTATTTTTAAATGCAAGTCCCTTTTGGTGCTCTCTAATTGTACATATTGGTTTATAAAGAAAGAAAGCACTTTTATTTTTAAATGTTATTAATTTATCTTATTACTAATACAGAAATGAAGCTACCATTTAAATATGTAGCAAGAAAAGCTTAGGAACAGCTATGGGAGACAAAAATGTACTATTATTATTATGAAAAATATTGAATTAGAGCAGTTCTTGATGGAGTGATAGGTGTTTGAGGGGAATTTGCTTGACACGGTTACTCGCGGGTTCAGTTCAGTTCTTTAAATTGTGTTTTATATAAATAGTGCAGCCTGTATAGATATCTGTTGTGTTTCTGTTAGTCTCTGATTCGTGCTAATTGCAATTAGGGACAGTCTGCCAACAGCAGCAGCAACAACACAAGAGCACTGTCCATTACAAAGGTTGTTATTGTTGCTGTTCCGTTAAGGGATAAGCCAGGGCTGCCAAGTTAAGTTAGTCGAGATTAGAGGGAAAATCAAAACGAGGACACAATTTACATTCAAATGTGGTAGACTGGTCACTAGCCAGTTTCATTTCCTGGCCAAAATAACATGGATACAAAACCTGTGCTTGGCACTGCCTCAAACTGTGTCAAAGTTGGTTGGTGGGGTAGCAGCAGGAGCAGGAGTCATTGCAGGATGAGGAGCAGGCACAGGCGGAGGCGGAGGCGGGGTGGGGAAGGGTATAGTTGTGGGATCAGATGCAGGAACAAGTGCAACAGCAACAGCAACGGCAACAGCAATAGCAAATGGCAACATGTGGCCACAGCCGTATCCGCAGCAGCAACCAAACTTACATTTGTCTTTGGGCGCTGGGCGCGCTGCCAAAGTGCCTGCGGTTATGCGCTTGTGCTGGCTTCCCCCCTGCACACACACACACAAACACACACACAAATACACAAACACACACATAAATAAAAGTGTATTCATGCGCCAAGTGCAAGCGTCAGTTGTGCTTTCAAAAACGAATAAAGAACTGAATAAAATGAAGCTTCCCTTTGACTATGCTGAATGTATATACTCTTTGCTGTTGCTATATCGATTGTTAAATTGGAATCAATAAATTGTACATTTTATGAACATTATTCGCTCTTCATGTTATTGCTTTTGCCATTCATGGATCCTTAAGGAAGTGCCTTACTGAGCAATATTGTAAAGCTGAAATAGAAAATATAAGTAGAGTCTGCAAAATACAGATTAAAATTCAAACAGTAATGCAATGGATCAGGATCTTTTGATATATTCTCATTTTCTTCTTCGCCCATACATTTGAGGTAACAACTTTTGATAGTAATTCAAGACCTATCAATAGTGTTGTATCATTACTTAAAAAAAAAAAACTTTTCTCACTAGAAAAATTTTCTTTGGAACTGCTTTGGCGATTCTCCACCGAATAGTTTATATAGTAGTCTCAAAACAAGCTTACATACCAAGTCACTTTTTTGGAGTAAAGCTTGGTTAATAGACATACATATGTGGAATACTACTTGTATGTTAAAGAAAGAATTCCCTATTTCTAAATATAAGCAATCATAGGAAGGAAAAGGACTTTTACAAAATTGAATATTAAATCATTGAAACATGTTAGTAGCAATCGTATACCATTTGCTAACATATCCAATTCAGTATTAATATCGAGTTTAAGGAAGTTTCTACACTGATGGACTTGAGCATTTACTTGTACTCTTATATCTATATAATCGAGTCTCTCTATTACTGCCAACTTGATGGCAAACACAAAAAACCTGGCACTCGGAGGATAGGGTATAGGAAAATAAAGGAAAGTCCAACCTCAAGGCTAACACAGAGACTGCAAAGCAAGTCGAGCAGCACATTAACACCGCCTTTAAAATTTATGATATTTACTTGAGCAGACAGAGGCAATGAGCCAGGCACTGAACACTGAACACTGAACACTGAGCCATGAGCCACGAGCCAAACAGCCCATGGCACGTGCTGCTTTAGGTCCTCCTCTTGTTGTTGCTGTCGCCTTTTAAGTGGCATGCTGCAAATACACAAAATAAAAAAAGGAAGTAAAAAACAAAAAACGAGAGCTGGCTAAGAAGCTGGCAGCTGGTAGCTGGTAGTTGGCCGTCATGCGGGCGCGCAAACTTTTCTGTGTCTTCCTATGTATTTGATATGCATTTTTTATGGCTGTACATCAAAGCAGCATCAGCAGCAGCCGCCGAAGGGGCAACTAAGCAGCAAGCATGCAACTTGGCAATCACAGCGCACAAGGCAATGAGTAGCTTTTTAGTGACTCATCATTTGAGTGACTCTGTGGGCGTACCTCCTCCATCTGTGTCCACCTCTACCTGTGCCTGCCTGTGGATATTAACGTGGGTTGTGGGTGTGGGTGTTTGGGAGAACTGCACTTGCATATGCGAGCCTTTCAAATGTTTCCTCCGTATTGGCTGTGTGTCGCGGATGTATGCCCTATAAGCCAGAAATTAAATTAATCGCATTTAATCAAGTCACTTAATAGTTAATTATTAATTATTGGTCCAGAGTACGCTTTATTGTGATTTACTTGACAGATCGGAAAAAAGTTGCAAGTTTAGTCTCATAATTGGTTTTAATTCGTATTCTTTTGATATAAATCTATTTTAGCTTGCCATTTTATATTGCTAGTAATAATATTTATAATTTCTTTCAACAATTTTATACCTTGAATTATTGAACATTTTACGAAATTGTCGCGCTAAGAAGCAACAATAAATACTTGCAATTGTCATTTCTATTGAATCCGTCCTTGTTAGTTTTATTTTAAAGCTTTTCTAGTTTTTAAAATAATTTTTTTTTTAAATGAAAATGGCAACTAATTATTCAACTTAAATGAATTGTTTTCTCAAGTGTTCTTTTGTAAAAGTATTTTTTCTTTTCTTTTGAATTATTGCTTAATAATAATATATTTAGCGGCAAATAGTTTCTCAAATTTTGTATATATTCTTATAATTTTTGTATTTTTTGTATAATTGCAATTATTATTTGTATTATTATTTGTTATTCTTATCACAACTATAATTGCCATTTGGTCAATCGAATAAATCAATCAACGTAGCTCGAACTGCAATTACTTTCACTCAAATAGCATTGTCGTTTAACTGAGTTACAATTCACATTCAATAAATGATTTGCCAAGGCTCTCAGCTCCCCCATCATGCCCACGATTGTAGCGCAGAATACGAGCTCAGGTGCTTACGAATCTGTACTAACCCACTGCCTTTCAGTGGCCTTTCAATTGAAAATCATTGCCGTCGGCAAAGTTTACATAGTTGCTGTTTTCCATAGTATCTATCCTCCCTCTGTCCGCCCATCCGTCCGCCCATCCGTCCGACCATCCGTCCGACCGTCCGTTCACCCAGTAAGTGCTTGCGCTGTAAGCTCGGAGCGGTGGCACCTTGCCACAGTGCAGTGCGTCGCGTTCGCGTGTCAACACCTGTGCATCCGAGTCTTGTCTTGTCTGGTCGAATCGAGTCGACTCGAGTCGGGTCGGGTCGGGTCGAATCGAGTCTGTGGTGATTCCTTAACTCCTTAAGTCGACGGCGACATTTTGTAATTTTCCTAAGTGTTGTCGTCTTGATGGTTGCGTCGCTGTTCTTTTTCAACAGCAGCAGCGATAGCAAGCAAAAATTATTAGCAACATGTTCTGTCGTCGCTGCTGGATTGATTTTAGGGCGGGCGAGACTTACGTGGTGTGTGCCGGTCCCTGTGCCCGCCGCTACCACGGCAGCTGCGTCGACATCCCAGGGGATGTGGCTCGCGAGCTGCGGCGGTCGGAGCAGCACTACGAATGGTATTGCCGCAATTGTCGTGAACTTTATCGCCTGCGATTGTACTTTGAGGCATCCAAGCCGGCGCTTACTTTCAAGTTACACTTAACGGATGCGGATGCGAGGAAGAATGCAGATACGCGTGCTGCTGCAACTAAGAGTGGCGCTGGGCTATTCAATGTATGTATGTGTATATAGTGGTTGGGTGGTTGGTTGCTGGTTTGGGTACGCCTTTGTTTGGCTAGTCGCGGCTTTGATTGCATTTTGTGGCATTGTGTTGCGGTTTTGGCCAACTGCACCGCCTATTTGCCCGACCCTTGACTCAATTATAAAGGAGAACGAACGCTGAAAATATATTTTAACCAGCAGCGGGCATTTGTGGCATTCGATGAACTTTTGTGCACTCCAGTAACCTATTTAAATAGTTAAGCTCAGTGCCTATGTTTACGGGCCATTTACTATATAGCCATAATCCACATATTCAATTGATATTCAATTTGTAGACCTCGTGCAGCCTTTTGATTCTACAACCGACTCGGACTTTTCAGCACTTATATACACTTATACACAAGGCCATAATTTAAGGGTATGATGTGGTTAGAAAAGCTATATGGCTACCAAAATGTTCTCACAAATCACTGCTTGAGTTGTGCTCCGAAACCCTATTAAAAACTTGCATTTGAAGGGCAATAACACCTTTGCAACTAGAAACTTAGTTGACATTCGGCGTTTCATTTCAAATATTGTCTTAGTTATGGCTGATGTCATTATTGTGATAACGTGATTAATATTTATGCTTAATTAATTTCATATGTTTTTATTGTTGTTGTGTATGATAGTTTTTTGCGACACTTTATGTAATAAATTTATTTACTTTCTATTGGCTATCATTTGGTAATTGTTTCATTTATTTAATACGTCTCAGAGTCAGCTTAAAGGAATAGTTAAATTCTGCAATCAAGTTTCTATTTAATATTTACTCTTCGAGCCTTTTTATTTGTTATACTTTTGCTTGTTTCTATGAATAATATTCGCAAAATATTTTATAAACTTAGTTATTTATAGCAAAGTGAAAGATGCATTTATTGCAAAAGGCGAATTAAATTGAATTGTCTATTAACTGCAAAAGTAAATAATTTTATTCAAAAATAGTCCACTCTGCCTTCATTTTAAATTGTGGAATGCCAATGAAAATTCTAAAGGTATTTGAATATTCTGGAGCCATTTCTGAAGTTTGGTATATTATTGAGGGCGAGGAATCTGGTAATGAGCTGGCTCAGTCCCCTCCCTCAGAAACCAGATGGGGATATTTAGTTCAAAGTGCCCACTTAACGTTAATTGCAAAATGCAGAACTCAGCATATGGCTGGGCTTCAATGCGATGCGATACTCGTATTTTCACATTCAACGCCATTGTGGAAGTACTGGTTCGTACTGCTACTGCCGTTGCTGTTGCAGTTAACAAAAGACGTTGCCAAACAAGGCAGCGTCGTCTCAAAGCGACGCCATTTTTAATTGTAACTGTAATTTAGCCATTGTTGCACACATTTGATGACGCAAACACAACGAATCTTGAATGTTGAACGGTGAACGATAGACGGTGGACGTGAGGAGAAGAAAAGTTAGGGGCGAATGGCGAGGGGGGCGCCTATGTGTATGCTACGGTTTTTTGCGTTTCTTGCCTCGCAGCTCTACCAAAAATATGCCCAGCCACCCGACTAACCGACTACCCGACTACCCAACCATCTAACCACCTGCCACTTGGCACACGTGTCGCGCTTTGCTTTTAAGCTGCGTCAACTTGAAAAATGTTATTTTTAGCCTGAATTGTTGTTCAGGTGTTGCGTGTGTGCCCCGAAGCTCGTTCTCTCACTTTTTGTATACTTGTATATAGTATTTCTATATATCTCACCCATTCACACTATACTTATCTCTCTCTCTCTCTCTTTTTCTCCCTCTCTCTTTCTTTGTGCTTTTCAGATTGCCATCTGTGATGATTACAGCCTGCCCGTAGATTTCGTTAAAAAACGACCGTCCAGTTTCGATCCTTGCCTAGCCGAGGCAATACCAACAAATCCAGAGCATTGGATAGCGCCAAGTCCACAGGCGGAATTTGTGAGTACACAATAACAATGCATTTGCATTAAAGCTTTAAGTAGAGTATGGTCAGCGAGCATTGATTGAAGATGGAGAGCGAGTGTGGGTAATGATTGGAGGTGGGGTTGGGGTTGAAGGGGCTGAAGGCAAAAAGCAATTAACTGCCATGCCGGCCGCCAGCAAAAGCAGCATCCTCGGCTAATTGATAAACTGCACGAGCATTGCGGGATGAGCAGCAGATTCATCAGCATCAGCATCATCATCAGCAGCAGTAGCAGCAAAGAAAGACCACTGGAAAGAGCTGGGCTGGGGCTCGTCATCGGCAGCGTTGCTCTAATGAAAAGCTTTTGCTTATTTAATGGGCACATAACGAGACCCGGGGCCAGATCTCTGTTTGCCGCTGCAGGCCACACAAAGCCGGCACTTGAACAATGCCTGGGCTATTGGCTAAATATTGCAAATACAAAAAAAAAGAAAGCAAATCGCCGCAGCATAAAAAACAACAACAGCAACCCAATGGCAAAGTCATAAAAAGGCAAAAAAAAGAATGAAGAGAAACAAGAAGATATATGAGAAAACCTCAGCCTGCAGCTATGAGCCACAAATCAAACGGCCCGAGTTGCCAAGCAAATCTTTTGCTCCATTTGACTGCGCGCTATCTGCCGAGTCAAACACACACACACCAAGCACACACACACACACCCGACACACACATCTAAGGGCTGCCGATTGCACAAAATTGGCAGCCATGTTTTTATGACCTCCCCATCACCTACCCTACCATGCGAAATATTTCCTGTATTGTATTGTTTTCTGCACCCCTGTGTAGATTGCCACTAAAAATAAAAAACAAACATGAAATGAAAAGAAACCGAAAGCTGGCGCGCCTACGCTTATGCAACAAAACATGCCAAATGCCACAACGAGCATAAAAAATGTTGTGTGCTACAATACTTGAATTTTTATTGTAATTCTGTGTGTTGTGTCGGCCACTATACGAGTACACAGGCTATACGGCATGCGAGAGCCATAAACGAGTGTTATGTAGTGCTGTGAACTCATTTCTATATAGCCCATGAAGTGATACCAATACATACTAAACATATTGTACATTCGTATAAATATACATATCACTACTGCCCTCCCAAGCGCTTCGAAACTTTTCAATAAGCTGCTTAATAGCGCATTTAATTAACTAAAAGTATTTTAAGGGCTCTCATGAAGAATCGTCAGCTTTATCGCATTACGTTTTTACAGTTTTTGTTGCGATAAAATGAGGGCGATACGAGATTTTGAATATACCGAAAATATTCGTGGAGCTAGCAAATTAAAATGCTATTGTGGGCGCGTAAGAGAGAGACATCATTGGTGAATATATTGAAAAATATTTCACAATAATGCGTAAAGAGATTATATTTATTTATTTGTATTTATAAATTATTTGCCATCAAACAAAGTATCACTTTTTAAAGCTAAGCTTAAATAAGTAGCACAAGCAAAACCGAAAATAAAATGTTCATTCTTCCAATTGAAATAGACGAGTAAATGGCTTATGCTTTTTACTTTCGAGTGACTCAACAATAAAATAATTCTAACATAATTGAAAATAAAAGCAAGATTTAAAAAATTCAAGGAAAGGAAAAAGGCAAAATAATATCTACCCAAAAGCATTTGGCGCACTTGTAAATATACTATTTACAGATTAGTATTTCCCAGTCTTACAATATTGCAAACCATTAAGGTATATGAATACTTTAAGCGTAAGTATATCAAAGTACTATGTGTTCGATCAATTGTATAGTTTCCAAAAAACCAATATATTGGAAGTGATTTAATCACAGTTTAGTGAAATAAACATGAAGGTTTGAGAAGATATATTTTAAAGAAAATAGCTTCTACTTATAGAGAACGATATTGTTACGAACTAAACGTATTTCAATATTAGGCTGCCATATATTAAATCAATTTTACCCAAAGCGTAAAACTATTAATTAACACCATAGGTGTTTAATTGAATAGAGAAGAAGGCTTAGTAATCTTCTTTTCAATTTATTATTTAAGTTCAATACTAAGGACATTCCTAATGTTAAGGAACGAGAGAGCAAAATCAACATTAAAATAAACTTCTAACGTCTTGCGATTATGAAAGTATACTTGCCAAGTTTGGTTAATGTGGGCTTAGCCGTTTCTGAAATCCAGGCGTTCACCCAGACGGACAGACATAACTAAATCGATTCATTTCGAAATACTGATTAAGAATATATACTTGTACATACTTGTAGTACTCTTATACTACATGCGATCGGAGATGCTTCTATTTGCCTGTTATATAAAAAAAACCAAGTCTTTAAAATTCAACACCTGCTGATACTTCTATAAAAATAATTGTTCCTTTTTAATAAGTAGTCATTCGACTTTAATACCCTAACTTTAATTCGTCGTTGATGAAATATCATCACAACTCAACAGCCAGCAGCAGAACTTAAAGCGCGGCAGCAGCCAACAGCATTCCCGTTGCTCGGCGCTCATCATCTCTCCCACTACTCATATTCTCTTATACACCGCACAAATGGCCCAAAGCGACAGCGTTTAGCGCCTGTCCTGTGTTTATGTGTGCTCCACACACACACACACACATGAGGAACAGCAACAACCAGCACTACCTATCTCGCTCTGGCCCTTGCATGAGTTGCGCTTTTTTTTGCGCCCAGTTATTAATGTAATTTTATCTTATGACTTTTGTTTTGCGTAAACAGTTAGGCAGACGACGCGCTGAGCGGGTGGGAGAAGAGCAGAGGAGAGAGATAGAGAGGGAGCGAGGCGGAGAGAAAGTCGGTAGACCAGGAAGCCAGTGAGGCATGTGTGCGTATGTGTACGTGTAATATAAATACTCAATGTGTTGTTGTTGTTGTTGTTTTTGCTGTTGTTGCTGTTCATGTTCTGTTTTTGGCGGCAACTCACGTTTTATAATGGGGGCGAGCGCGACATTTTTCGATATGCAGCTCAACGTTGGCGTCGCAGTCGCAGTCACAGTCGCCTCGTCGTCTGGATTTGAAGTGCGCAGCACGAATAGAGTGGAGTGGGGGGAGTGTGGGGAGAGTGTGGGGGGAGTTTGGGGGCATGTGGGGCTTCGGTGAGTCAGCGTGCCTTTTACTGTTGCTATTATCCTCTATGGAGTAATATCAACGATAACTCAGTGATGGCAACACACAAAACTCGCCTGGCAGTCAGGGCACGTTTTTTATGCACTTCCTCCACCCACACCGACCACTGTGTGCATATGTGTGTGCTTGTGTGTATGTATGTATGTATGTATGAGTGTGTGTTAGGATGTTGCATGTTTGTCGCTTTGTTTATTTCAATAACTTCGGTATATGCTTTTGCCCAACAACAAAAGAACTTAAAGCAATAGCAGCTTTAGCGAGCTTAGATGTTGCTCATACGCCACTTTGTCTGGAATGCCAAACGGCGCATAACAACGACTATAAACTACATACACACAAACATACATACATACATACATGCATAGCGGAAGGCGCATCAACACGCGGAAAAATAAAAATTATAATAGAGGAATTTGAAAAAAATTTATTATCCGAGGGAAGTTTTGAATCATCTTACTTATAGTGTACGCAAGCAGACTAACCGCCTAAAGACTTAATACTCGTAATGTCTTAAATTCATTTTAAATTAATGCTTGCAGGAATCTTGTATAATAGTTTTGTAAATCTATATTATTACCAATTCTAGTGGTTCGCATTTAAATATTTGATGAAAGGAGAGGAAAGGCAGGGAACATTATCTACAAATTCACTCTCAGATACTTGAAAACCTTGAGCTTAAAAAGGAAGTTTTAATTGACTACCCGTGTTGTTTCAGGGAACTGTTTTTTTCTGGACAAGATGAGTTATAGGTGTGCTAGCCAGACTAGATATCTAGTCTAGAAGTCTTTGTATTTTTTTCAAGTGTAATGCAAGATAGACAGACAATCATTCATGTGACTCCGCACTCATTCCTATATATTTCTATCTGCTTGAAAACAACTTCAGACCGCTCGTCATCATCTGCCAACGTTTTCATTAACGTGTGCATAAAAATCACGTTGTCAGAGCAACAACTACAATAGCAATAATAGCAATAACAGTAATAACAACACACACACATATACACGCACACTATTTCCGAATACAGCTAGCCGTCTAACAATTTTGATTGTAGTTTGTCTGGCATGTCCTAATGCCGCATTCCAAGCAGTAACCGCCTGGTTGACTGGCTTCGTGTTCCAAGGGCCTCCTCCATCCAGACACCTTCCCACCCACCCTTCTTTCGAGCCTGTTGCCGTTTTGATTGAAGACACATTTGTGAGCGCCAATCGTGCATGCGACCAAAGCTACAATATTTACAGTATATATAGAAATATACATACATACAAACATACATACTCATGCACGAGTATATTGATAATCAAAAGCAAATATTTAAAGAGCAATATATTTGCGCACCCTCAAGGGCCGCCACAGCCATAGCCATAGCCACAGCCGTTGGCACACGTTCAGATACATTCGCAGTATCCAGACCTCAGTACTCAGTATCTTTCCCATTCCCCAGCAGCACGCACCATTGCAATCATCATCCTTGCCGTATACTCATCAATATGGCCATTGTATTGTCTAAGCTATGGGTTTGATTTGCCTACACTTCTCCTCTGTGGGGTTAAATAGGCATGAAGTGAGTTTTATGGCTAACAGCAATATTGCCAGCCCTAATGACGCTCCACGGCGGCAGTTTCCGAGCTCCGAGCTCCGAGCAGTACTGTGGAGTAAGCGAACGCTTTCATCGCTCGATTGCGAAAAGTCTTGAAAAGTGATCTGCAGATCCCTATGGAAAGTTAGATAGATGAAGAGAATACACAAAGTTCGATAGAAAACTAAAAAACGGTCTTTTTTTACACAATTCATATATATTTCTTTAGGATTGGTTCCTTATCAATCACATATTTTCTTCGGTTCTTTCTGGAAACAATCTATCGTGTAAAAACAGAATTAGGTGGATGTACTTACATGATAGACAAAATGACAGACTGATAAATAAAAAGACAGATATAGAGATATATTATTTATTTATTTACATTATTAATGCATATAATTAATCCTAAATGTATTCAGGCTGTGTGAAGATAAATATATGCAAAGCTTAGAAGAAAAATATATCAACACAAATATAATTCGATAGCTGATATGTAAATAGATAAAAAGATAGATAGATAAAACTATAATTTCAATGATAGGTAAATAGATAGGTAGATAGATATATAAATAGATGGGTGAAAAATATTATATAAATGAATATTCATACATGATAGAAAAATATAGATATACAGATATAGAGATGAATAAACAGATCGACACAAATATGTAGTAAGTCGAGAGATAATGTGTAAATACTAGATAGAAGGAAATACAGATGTGAGTTTAGTTTGAATGACAGGTAGATAAATAGATAAAGCTGAAAATGATCTGTGGAATGATTGTAATTATTCCAAAAACTTCTTCTTTCGACACATTTAAATTCCTTTAACCAGTATCTTAATATTGATTTGTAATACAATTTCAATTGAGAATTGGAAGCGGAAGCTATTGGTAAGCGTTTCTGCTTTGATTAAGAAATTTCAGTGTTAATATCAGTTAAGCAGGACGACGAGCTTTAGTCTCCCTGCCTGCCTTATCTTTCCAAAACATTTTTATAGCAAACTTGACAAAGATCTGTCAGCGTCGACCTGTTCTTTCAATTCCTCTAAGATTTCGAAAACCCTTTTAGCCAAGCCATCATCAATAAGTAACTTAACAATAAAATATCAAGCATTAGCGATGTTTTAATTTAATTCCAGTTAGTAACACGGAGTCCTCGAAGCAGAGGATACATCCCTGTATTATCCAATGTGTTACCATTTCAAAAACATATTTTCTTTATCAGCTCAAAGTGGGGATGTAGCCCACGGTGCGTTGCCAATGGCGACCACAAGAGGCTGAGCAGTTGGGCACCTTATTGCATGGGTTTCAAGTTCAAATTCATTAAAAATGTTTAGCAGCACTTGCAGTTGAAAGCAGCCCCCTCCTCAGCCCATAAAATTTACTGCATCGTGCACTGGCACCCTCATTTCCTCTCCCTTCCTACCTGCATTGGTCTGTGTGCGCACAGTTTACGCTTAATTTATGAGTTTCAATTAAAAATGCTTTCAATGCTCGCCTCATTTTTCGCATTTTGTGGCTAACAATGGTAACTGAATAATGCCTCCTCCTGGCCCCCTCGGCCCACAGCAGCTGACCAGCCCAACCAGTCCACCTGACCCCAAATGGTCTGTTCTGTCAGCTCTCCATTGCTTGTTGTTGTTCCGTTGTGATGCAAACATCAATTTCCGTCTGCCATGATAACAAAGGCAATAGCAATAGCAACAGCAACAACAACAGCAACGGCCACAACAACTACTGGTAAACATTGTTCATGTGCCGGAAATTTATGTTTTATAATAAATAATAATGTGAATATTTGGGTTCGTTTATTCCTTGCTTGCAAATGATGGCAGTTTGTGGGGCGGATGGTGAGGAAAATGCTTGTCAACAACTTATAATGTGTGCACATTAATGCCTTGTTAATATAATTTGCTGTTGTTGCTATTATTGTTGTTGTATGTACCAGAGTGTATTGCCTGATGTTGCAGTTACAAAAGCAGTGCCGCCTGAAAGTGCCGAGCAAGCACAATTGGCGGTGGAAAGTGGGGGAGAGTGGGGGCAAGTGTGGAAACCCCACAAATGCTAACCAGTAAATGGCCACGCAATTTCAATTAAATGCCAACCGAAAAGGGAAATTGAATCGCAAATCAAATTAGCAGCAATACATTCAATGTATGTAAATGTTTTTGTTTTGTTTTTTTTTTGTTTTTTTCAGCTACCATTTGCCGAAGCCCAACAACAGTCGCAGCAGCAACAGCAACAGCAGCAACAGCAGCAGCAACAGCAACAACCACCACAAGCGCCACCACCACCCGCGCCTTTAGCAACGCTGCCAAGTCAAGTGCATGCGGCAGTGGCTATTTTAAGCAGCCACAACAACAACACATTGCCGGCCGCTACACAGCAACACCAGCAGCAGCAACAACTGCAACAGCAACACCTACATCCAACAAAGTCCAGCCAACGTGCCACGCTCCAACATCCACCGCTGCCGAATAGCAACATCAAGCAGGCCTCCGTCAAGCTAATTGAGGGCTATTCGGATCCCAAGGATACGCGTCAGCACAAAAAAGTCTACCACAAGAAGGCCAAGCGCCGTGTCGCTCCGCACCACAAGCGACAGCAGCAACAACAGCAACAATCGCTGCCACTGCCACGTGCCACCCAACAGAAGCAGCAGCAGCAGCAGCATCAGGCCCAACAACAGCAACAACAACAACCCCAACCAGCCAGACAGATCGCATATAATAACAATAACGCCAACGCCAACGGCAGCGCCACCGTTGGCCATCCCAGCAAGAAGGACAAACGCAGTCATTACAATTCAGGTGAGTGTGCGTAAATGTGCAACATGTTGCCCAGCCAGTTAGCCGTGGCACGAACACGGTCGCCAGTCAGCCATCCACCCATCCAGCTATCCAGCCAGCAACCGTTAGCGGCAATTAGAAACACTTGGCAGTAGCCATAACTACTATAAAGTCCTCAGCACACTGGTTCAATGCTCCTCGAAAAATTTAACTTCCAAATCTCTTTAGATTGCTTTCTCAAACAGAAGAAAAGCCGATTTAAGAGCATCGATATCATTCCATACATTTGATTCCATACTTTGTTAGCCTTTTCTTAATAACTGCGTCACACAAAATAACTATACTATTGGAACTTCAATAGATTCCAACAAATTTGAAAAGAAAGCTGCGAAACTTCAATAGATTATCGCTACTATCGATAAATAAGTTCGATATTATTATCATATTGTTGCATTTTCGATTTTCGTTTTTCTGAACACAATTTCAAAGAGAACTGTGCTGATCTTTATAATTGAAAATGGCGAGGCAGTCATTTTTTAGAGTTCCAGAAACAGCAAGTTAGTTACGTAAATCCTATATGTATACTTGTATAAGTAAATTTCTTACGATTTATTATATATCTTAAAAAACCTTTAAAAATTGTTAATTATGGACGTTTTAGACGGATGTTTTATACATACAAGTATTTAAAACTTTATAATCATTTCTAAACTTTCTAAGTATTTTTATAAAATTATAAAATCCTTTCGAAACATCTATTAAAATCAATAAGCTTCCAGATTGATTACACATTTTTTATGATCTCCATGCAATTTTAGAATTGTATTCAATTTCGAAAGGCTTAAAAAACCCATACTAAATTCTATCTGAGATGGAATATAACTTCCCCCCATCCATCATGAGCAAGAAGAGATGGCAGCCTTAAAAACCGTTTCCTAAAATAAAATTAAGTAGAATTTTTCTTTTTAAATTACGTATCAGTATGCGGTCGACAACTTTTACTGCGGCTGTGAAACTGGCGAAGCATTAAATTGGTAGCTTGGAAGCGAAGGGTAAGGGGAGGGTGGGGAGATGCTTGAGGTTGGAGGCTGGGTGGTTGGCAGCCAGTCAAGCACCTAATAGAGTGCACCAGTTGCCGCAAACTGTACTGTACTGCAAGCTGTGCCTCGGGCTGTCTAATTCGATTTACGCTCGCGTTTTGCCGCAACTCAATTAAAAGCTGAAACTCAACAATTGTTGTCCTTTGCAGATTCCTCGGCTCCCAAGTCTAGTGAGGACGAGGCCGACGCAGACGAAGACGTTGAGCGTTTGTTAGTGCCCCCAGCACCGCCAGCACCGACATCGCAGCAGCACCAGCAGCAGCGCGGCGGCATCAAAGCGGCCGAACTCAATTCGCCGGATAGCATATCGGATGATTTGGTGCGTCCGTTGCCGCCGCAGCTGCAGCGTAGTCCGCGCAAATTGACGGTCGCCCAAGCGGAGCACAGCAAGCGCCAGCCGTCGCCCTACTACTACTCGGACCTGCTCAAGAGCAAGGACACCGGCAAGGACACCGGCAAGGATAGCAAAGATGCTGCAGCACTTAGTACTGCGGCAGTAGAGCGCGAGGCGAAACAAAAGTGTCGCCAATCCACAGCCAGCGAGCCACCGCAGCTGACGCAACCGGCTCTCAGCGCGCACGGAGCCTACCGCAAGAGCAGTAGCTTGGATGCACCGCAGGTGCACGACGACCACGACGAAGATAAGCTCGAGGACGAGGACGACGACGACGAAGACGACGACGAGGAGGAGGACGACGGCCAGGAGCTAGACGAGGTGCCAGAGCAGCTGCAGCGTGAGAGGGACGAGTGCGATTTGGGTCAGGACACACCTAAGCGCTATAGTTTCACCGAGGACGGTGTGCACATCATACGTTGCGACACCCCTAGCACCACAACCTCGGAGGAATCCGACTGTAGCGAGTGTCTGAAGCGCCGGGAGTGGCATGCCCGTGCCTTGGCACTAGTGAGGAAGACCTGCAACGTCCAGCCGCTCGAACGGGTCGGCAGCAGTGCCAGTGGGGCGCTCGAATTGCAGTTGCAGCATTGCGACGCCGGTGAGGGGGAGTTGCTGAAGTGTTGTCCGATACCCCCACCTCCAGCACCTGACGCTGACCAGCTCGTCAACGCCGCTGTTGACGCCAACGCCGACGCGGCGCCGATGCCGCCACATCGCCTTTTGGGTCCAGCAGCTGTGTGCGCCTGCGTTGCCGCACCCGCCGGATCGTTGGGCGATGAGCTCGAGGAATACTTTCGACCACGCAGCATCTTCTATGTGCATCCCCATGGCGTTCACGAGTGCGCCGAGTGTGCGCCCAACAGCGAGCAACAGCCGACGGCGGCGTCTTTAAGTGCCCCAAAATCTCATTCTGTGAACACAATCGATCTCTACGGCAACGACGAGCGGGAGGAGCAGGACGACGACGCTGACGCCGACGTCGACGCTGACGACGACGAAGAGGACGACGAGGGAGACGAACAAGACGCAGAAGCGTACGACATCATGTCCAGCCGTAGGCGGCAAATCTACGAAACCGCCTTCGACTGCAACATAGCGAAGTCAGATGATGACCTGGATGAGGTGGACCGCATTACCAATCACTCGGTGCTGCTCCAGCTGAGTAATGGCAATGGCCACTCTCATGCCCATGTCCACGAGGCCAGCAAAGCCCATAAGTCCGCGCACCACAAGAGCCGTCTCGAGTGCAAGCGTTTAAAGAACTCCAAGAATCAGGCGCTCCAAGAACAGGCGACGACAACCACAACAGCATCAGCCGCGACACCGACTACGGCGGGAAACGGTGGTTCGCTAATTGTCGTGGAAGCGGAACTATCCAAGTTACAGTTGGACCCGCAAAATAATGCAACAGGAACAGGTAGTGGTGCTGGAATAGCAACAAACGCACCGATAACGATGACAACAACATCGTCGGCAACAGCAGAGACCGCCACCAGTTCGCAGCAACTACCGGTGCGGGGTTATACGCCATCACCGCCCTCCACAGCGCCGCTGCCGATGAAATTTCCAGGCAAACATGAGCGTAGCATTGAGCGCCACTACATGAACAGCATCAAGAGTGCGCCCAACCTGCCCGCTGCCAATCCAGCCCATCCACGTCTGCGCGATCTGCGACTGCCACTACAGACGTCCTTGCGCCAGCAACAGCAGCAGTCGCAATGCGCCTCCAGCAACGACACCAGTCTCACCGACAGCGCCTACGTTAATCCGCCCTCGACAAACTCGGGAAACTCGGGGGCCACGACCACAACCACAACAGCGGCGGTGGCGCGCAGCAACCGTCCACGATCGTTTGTCCTCGAGTCCGGCCGTGTTCTGGAGCTTCGACGAAGCGCTGGCTCCGGCCAGACTTCGCAGCAGCAACAACAGCAGCGCCACCAGCACCACCACCACCATGTCCACGGTCCAGGCCATCAGGGGCATGCCCGACGACGGCACGCCCATGGTGCTCACAACTACTCCTCAACAGAGAGTATTGCCACATCGAGTAGTGGTGGCAGCATGGAGTCGCTGCGATCGAGCACCAGCGAGGGCAACCGTAGCACCTCTAGTAGCGAATCGCGTCACTCGAGCTCCCTCAGCTCGCACAGCTCTGAGTCGGCGGGCAGCTCCAGCATGGCCTTTCCACTGCGCGCCCCCGTCGTTCTACACTCCAAATTGCATATCCTGAGTCCCATATCGGACAAGTCCTCCCAAGAGCCAGCCTCAGAGCCGTCAGAGCAACAGAAAGCCGCCCAGCAAGTAGCAGGTTTGGCCACCGGTGAGGAAACCAGCGACGTAATGGTCTCGCAAACGGCAGCGTCCCAGCTACTTAGCGTCTCGAACGCTAATGCAGGCACCCAGCTGGAGGGCCTCAAGAAGCAACAGCGCAGCCAAAGACCGCCACCCAACAAGGCGCTCCTGCATCTCGCCGACGAGCTGCTTGGTTCCGACAGCGGCATCTCGCTGCATTCCCGTGAGGATGGCAAGCCCCCTGGTCTCGGCCTGCAGCGACTAACGCTGCCTAAGCTGCACTTTGCGCCGGCGGATAAACATCACAACGATAGCACCGGCGCCAGCGTTAGTGCCACCGGCAGTGGCAGCGGCGCCAACTTGCCGCAGGACCTACGCGATCTACCTTTCGACATGCCCAAGCTGCGACGCCGCAAGACGCTGCAGCAGGAGGCGGCCTGCACCTCGGGCAGTGCCACCTCCGTCGACCTGGGGGATCTACCCTTCGACATGCCGAAGCTACGGCGACGCTTGCGTGCCAATCAGGCCGAAATCAACAACTTGCTGATGCACAGCACCGAGTCCAGCGGTATTTCCCAGGCCTCCTCCAGCCACTCGATGCGAGATGAGCAAAAGTTGGCCAGCAAATTGGGTAAGTGGGTTCCAGCCAACGTTTCTTTGTCGGCTTTATCCGTAGGCCCAAGGCAACATTATTAGGTTCCATACTTTTCGAATCCTGTACCCGAATCCGCAAAGACACGAGGAAGCTTTTAGTATTTCAACAGAGCATTTAAGTTGTTGCCATTCATATGGAGCTCTTAATACTTGTAATTCTAACAATGTCCTCCAGTAACAAGGGATTAGTGTTAAACTAAGTTTTTTTTTTATTTTCCCCTATAAAGATACGGCGCTTTTCCGTCAGAATCTAACGCTTAATCTCAACGAACCGCGTCAGGTCAATAAGTTTGGCAGCTTGGATCTGCGCGGCCTAAACACTAACAAGGAGCTCAACATGAATCTCTGCCAGGGCTATGTGACGGCGGTTGATCTTATCGATGTTGCCATACCGCTAGAGCGCCAGGGGTGAGTTCCACAAACATCCTTTTCCTCTAACAGTATTGCTAATTACTTGATCTCTTCACATTTCAGGTGGTACCATGGTGCCATCACACGGATCGAGGCGGAAACAACGTTACGTCCGTTGGCCGAGGGCTCGTTTCTAGTGCGCAATTGCGAGTCTACCAAGCAGGACTACTCGTTGTCCCTCAAGTGGGTGCAATTACAAATTATCCATCTGTCCCATCCATTCTAACTAATCTCTCTCGCTTTGTCTTCCTTTTGATTTGCAGAGGAGCCAAAGGATTCATGCACATGCGCATTCAACGCAACGAAACCGGTCAATACATTTTGGGTCAATTCAGTCGTCCGTTCGAGACGGTGCCGGACATGATTAGGCACTTCTGCCTCAATCGGCTGCCGGTGCGCGGTGCCGAGCACATGTGCCTCATCGAGCCGGTCATTGCGCAGCTGCTCTAGGCGGGAGAAGAATGAGAGAATGTGGAGAAGGTGGAGAAGCGGACGCCGCCCAGAGTGCAGCATAGCTTAGTTTTGGGTAGTGGTAGTGTGATGGGAGGATCACTGTGCACTTAGTGATAGGCATAGGATAGGATAGAATACACAGCGAGCACTTTGGCGCCAGTCTAGCTCCAGGCCTAGGACTAGGCCTAGGCGGTGTTCACACACCGCACACACCGCCAAAAGTTCAGTGTAAACGAAGCCACCACATGCATAACAGAAACACATATTGATAGCAGATAGACAACAATATTAACATATGAACATATATGCACTAGTTATATGCTGTAATCTTAAATACGATTGTTTTTCCAGTTTTTTTCCAATTTTTTTTTTCACTTCATACGGACACTCACACACAAACTCACACGAACTACAAGTAGTATAGCGTTCAAAGTACGTAGCACTTCAGACAATACCAGCAACATGAAATAAAAAAGGCACTCACAAAAAGCAAGTTTTTTTGTAGAAAACATATATAAATAGTGAAACATACGTACATATATACTGGGTAGTGCTTGTATATACGGTGTAATATCTCAAGAGAGAAAGAGAGACAGCAACAGTAACAAAACCATAGCACGAGGAGTTGTTTTCTTGTTTCGTTTCCATTTTGTTTTTTGAACATGTTTACACTGAGGCACGCCACATAGACACAGACACAGCAGAGAACTCACGTGCGTTCGCACCTTTGGTTAGCATTTTATGGTAGAACATACATATATACATATTTATATGTGCCTGTGTGCATGTATAGTGTTAAATTTACCGATATTTCATGCATATATTTACCTTTTACCTATACACACCTATCAAGTCTTTGAAACAAACTGCTACGCCCAAAGACCTGTCTACACACCCATCGAGTGTGACAGCTTTGGGGTGCGTTCACACTAACACTGTCGAAAGGTTTTAGCAAGCAACTTTAAGAAATTTGTTGATTAATTTTATGTTCAAAACTAACATATACTACATATACATGTTTATATCTATGTATGAATAACTTTAGTAATGGCCGAAGAAGTGCCAGTTTCGGATCCGGTTTTTTTTCTTAGTTTTAGGCCAGGCATGCAAGTAAAACGCTCAAAGCGCTTTTTGGTTACATAGTGTCGTCGTCCGGACAGGGGACGATGCATGATGGAGGATATAGCAACACATATGAAAAAAATGTCGGTTTTAAGTGTTAGTTTCTAATTACATAATGCTATGATGTGTAGAGAGCAAATGGCAAACTATATTATGAAAGCTAAAAATTATATATACTTACTATTTATATTTCTATATATACATACATATATACGAGATATTTAAAGAGCAGTCAATGGTTTTTTGGTTCCAACAAAAAAGAAATGAAATGAGAATGAAAAATGACAAAAAGAAAAGTGTAAGGCTTAATTAAATCTGTAACTGCGCCTATTTGTCAGTTATGTGAGTTTTCTGTTCCAAAGTCAATATGCCAGCTAGCGTATGTGCAATATGTATAACTCTATTTATAAAGGTATATATATATATTTCTATACTCTATATTTTCTATGATTTGTCAAAATTACAGTTTTATATGTTTTGTTTTTTTGAGTGTGCCAAAGCATTAAGTATGTATTTTTATTACACTATATACTTCCATTTAGTAAAACAATATTTGTACACTTTTAATTAGTTTCGTTCCATTGTTTGTTGTCTAAATTGTTAAGCAATTCTCAACGCAGTGCAATATACTTTGAAGCTGATTTAAGGCTTGCATTCAGTTAACTATTATTTATAGTTTATTGTGTATACATACGTACATACATATATACATACATACATACATACATTCAGCATAAGGAACCATCAGTACATACATACAAACATACAACATATAGTATATACATACATACATATGTCAAATTTGTAGTAAGGCCAAATTTTTGGGCTGTTTACACCGAGCAATCAGTGTCTACCAATAGTTTACATTTGTCAGTGTGAACAACAAACAAGCACAGTATATTAACGAAAAAAGAAAATGTCTTAAATTTTAAATAAAACAGCGGCCAAGTCGTACAAGAATTTTTTTGTTTTTGTATATAGTGAGAACATACTCGTACCTATGTTTTATTGTCGCAATACATTTTTTTTCTCTTGCCATAAATTTTAAGCTATAGTACAGTAACAATAATATATAGTAACAAAACCAAACCAACAACAAGGAAAAACAAAAAACACAACCATAGCAACATTTTTGAGGCTTCCGTAGCACTAAAGACAAAGCAAGCGAGAAAGGGCAAGAGAGAAAGAGAGAGAATATGTAGGATGGTTGCATGTTAACACACAGACAGAAGCTGATAGGTACAGTACAGCACCAACCGAAAACTAAAAACCAAAAGTAGTAATGTGAACATGGCCTAAAACTGTGCATGTTTGAAATCTTTCTCTTTCCAACTACACTTCCTCCAACTAGAGTCGTTCTCTAACGCACTGTAATAACTACTTACATATAATAGCTGTCGCGCGTATGTTATAACACATCTTTAACTATAAACCAACAACAACTAATTAACAACAGCAACAACAAACGAGAGATTTAACAATGAGCAGCAACATATGCATACAAATTCAATACAAAATAAAAACGCAGAAGAGAAACAACAACAAATGAACGAAATGTATTTAATAAAAATATTGAAAACTTTTGAACAAAAATAAAAATACAACAAAAAAAAAAACAAACAATTCACAAATTGTATTCTTTTTGGCCCATTTTAGTAGCCTTCCCACCCGTTCAACCGTACACTGAAATGGAAACTTATCATAAAGTTTGTCATTTTCATGAAATGTTTTTATTTTCCCATATTGGTAGCATCGTATATCGTATGTAGAACGTATATTTATAGTTGATTTCAATAAATTATGGTGCAAGATGTCCAGGCTCCTGCACTTAAAAATGGACAACTTTATATACAACAGATTTCAACATTTTATAGTACAGAGACACATATTAATCACACAAAAAAAAAGAGAAAAATATTGCAGAAAATATTTTTTAAGTACATGCAAAATGTTCGTTTCGTTTAAGAATAATTCGTTGATGTTACTTAAGCTCTAACAGGGTGTATAAAAAAATGATTGGATAGATTGTATGTATTTTATACATTTGTGGGTCAATATCAGCACAAGGTCTGACATATCCTTCACTCGATCTCGGAACATTTAATACTTCTCTCCACTCGTATCCCATTCTAGCTGCTGTTCCCTCTTACATCTCGATTCTTCTTTGCTGTTGACTAACGCGACCCACTCCGGGGAACTCAAAACTTACAATTATATATCAAGCAAAAAAAAAAAAGAAAACAAAAATAAACAAACGAAAGTAGGACAAGGGACAGCTTGCGTTATAAAATATGTATATGTATAAGTAAAGGTAGGCATTATAATAATAATTTGGTGTGTTCTGCGCTTAGTCGCAGCGTTTTAAATAGCCGCCTCGATAATAGACCCCTCGGCGTTCTTCTTTATCAGACTCTCCCACTGCGCAATCAGGCGATGTGAAGAAGGAGCCTCCTCGGGCGTAAGGTCACACAGTTGAGCCAGCGACATGGCCGGTCGCATTCCAGCGGACGGGCTCTGGGCATTGATGTTTAGGCTGCGATTGCCCGACGTCTTGTAGGCCAGCTCCAAGTCGTTGCTACAAAAGAAGGCAAACAATTTGATTCCCCAGTTTCACATTTGACTGTCTACTTACCTATCCAGCTCCAGAGTCGACTGTGCGTTGCGTAATTTTCCCGGGCCATAACAGTGCTCCACTTCAGAATCCTCGTCATCGTCACCATCACCAGCATCAGCCTCATCGTCGGTGCTCAGTTGTCTAAAGGGATACGAGGTAATGACAGATTAGTTCCACTTGTGAGCTCGGGAGGGCTATTTAATAGAACAAATTCGGTGCTCCCTACTGAGTCAAGAGTTGTAGAAGGTACTTTGTCATGTTCTGGAAAGTCGTCCTCACCGCAGAGTCTAGAGCGGAGACTGAATTTGTGAAAGTCTGTTAGGCAGGCACCCAGGGAAGATTATTTACCAAAGGCGTCATTAAGCTGTTTGGTTTGACGAATTCCTGGGCCTCCATTACAAAAGCCGACTACCACCTACCATCGACTTTACTGAGTGACCAGCCATGCCAGCGACACATCAGCGCTCAGAGTATAGCGACGGATACAGCCGCTATGGCTGGCTGGTTGCCATCGAATGTAATAATAGTAATACCTATTGGAATCACACTCTATGACATGAATCTCAGATGGGAATTGGATATGGCCATTTAATCATTGCAACTAATAGAATGCAATCCCAGTACCAACAATTGATTTCTTTTTGATCCATCTCTATAGCAACATAGACTTCTAGGGTCGCCATACTCTTAGGTCCTGCGCTCTGAGACTAAAGTATTGCATTTCTTTTTGCAGTGAAGCGTGCCTATTCCTCTACTCCCTTTTTAAATGAGCTACCTTTGCCTGTCAAATTACTAAGCCCCTCCATTCTGAAGGATATCACTTACAGCTTGTCCAATGACTGCTTTAAGGTATTCTGCCTGTTGAGCTTGCGTAAGCGCTTCAGCTCCGTTTCACGCGATTTCAGATCCTGCAGCTCGCGTTGAATTTTCTGTTCGACGGGCACGTAGCCACGACGCAGCGGCCTACCCTCTGAGTCGCGCTCAATGGCCGCCGGCGACAGAGTGTTTGTAAGCATGGCCCCGGGTGTACCACCGCCGGAGCTGCCACCGCCGCCTCCTCCGTTCTCCAGAAAGGCCAAGGCCGTGCGAGTGTTTAGCTTCAGTGGCGGAATCTGGCCATTACCAGCTGGAGACAGTGGAGAGACGCGCCCATTGCTTAATACCATGGGACTCAGAGATGGGCTCAGGCCCGAACCAGAGCCCAGGGTCATCTTTCCATGCGAGGCAATGAAACGCTGCATGACACCCTTGGTGGAGCCATTGAAGGCAAACTGGCGCCTTTGCTGCAAGCCATGTAGTTGGGGCGTGGATATGGTGCGAGTCATCATCTTTTGTTGCGGCGGTTCCGGCGTCAGGTTATAGCAATTGGGACCAATATAGCGTTGTTCGCGGAGTATTGCACTGCTGATGTTGTTGTTGTTGTTGTACTTGGGCTTAACAATTCCGTTGTTGTTGTTGTTGTTGATGTTAATCTTGATGCTCAGCGAGGAGGCCGATATGCCAGAATCGTCCGAATGATGCTCGTCGAGACTCTCCTCCTTGTTGCTATTCACGCTAGAGGTCAACGAGGGCGTATTGGACGGCGAGCGATCGACGGGTACGAGCAGCGCATCCAACGTTGTGCTCTGTATGGCCGCCGGCTGAGCAGTGACCAACACTCCCTGATCGGTCTCGTCCGACTCGTTAGCATTGTTGTTGGCCCGCTCCACATTGCCGTTGTAGCTCTCGAACTCGACCTGTATGGGTGGCGGGGTTGCGCTCGACGTTGCCAGCTGACGGTACTCCTCCTCGCGTCGCTCCACCTCCTTGATTTCCTGCTGTATGCGTGACAAGGGATCGACTTTCTGGAAGGGTAACAACAATAGGTATTGCATTAAGCCATTCTTTTGGTATTATCGGGGGACAAAGAAAGAGGTAAGGGCGGAACTGACCAGCATGGGTAGCTGCATTGGTGTTACTGCTGCTGCTGTTGTTGTTGTTGTTGTTGTTGATGCGGTCGTGTTGGAATGCTCCGTGGCCAGCTGGCGATATTCCTCCTCGCGTCGCACGACTTCCTTAATTTCCTCTTGAATGCGTGTCAAGGGATCGATTTTCTGCAAAGACCCAAAGGAGATAGCCGTACGTGAGTTGAGTTTCTTTCGCATTTTTTAATTACCATGACTATACAAATATGGACCGGGGGAGGGAAGGGAGGGGGCCCGACGCACACAGTCCCCAGCTGGCGCTGTAATCTGAGCCAAGGCTCTGGCAAGGAAGTGCCCTAAATACGACAACATTTAGATACCGATGGACAGACAGACGTGTGCATGGATTGTGTTACAAAACATGAAACAAAAGCTGCTTCACAAGCAGAGGGTACTTACTTGTATAGTTGGGTTTATCAAATTTGTATAAATTATTAGAAATAAGAAACCGTGTTGGCTTCAAGATATAGCTTTGTTAACAATTTGTACACATTTTGGGGCAACAAATAGACCTGAGATTTCACAGAAGCTACTTTTTATTTTAATCGAACAACTTTCGGGGTTTGCGGCTGCCATGGATGGTTTATTCTAATCGGGATGGGAATGGGCAAAGATCTTCAAGCAAATTACGCAAAATTGAACACATTTTGAACAGCACCAGCTTTAGGGCTTAATCAACAATCATTCATATTTTAAAGTGCAGTTATTTTATAGCATTAACGTAATATTTCATAAATTATGCTGCAGAAGAGCCTACTTTTCAATTATATCGTTTAACCCGGTTTATTCAGAGCAACTAAGTTTAGGTATGACTTTAATTTGCCAAACTAAGCAATGGTGCCGCTATTCTAATATATTCTAATTTTGAATTGTAATTTAATTTGTCGTTCCACAACATCAATAAATTGATATTCATTTGCTTTTAGTTTTCAAATTATTTTCAAAATTAGGGAATAGCTCTTTCTTATCAAGCTCATTAACTTCAATCTTTTCTTGGGCATAACTGAAGCGTCCATAATACGGTCTTACGGTGGACAAACAATGTGAACAATATTTAACTCTTTCATAGCTCATAGTTTTACTTCTTTGACAAATACCCTCTAAAATATAGCATAGCCTTCGGTTTGCGGCTAATGGTAAAGGCTGAATAAACGGATCTTGCCACCAAATGTAACGGTATCTGCAATGATGCGGATGCGGGTGAGGGCATTTGTGAGGTTGAGGTGCCAACTCACTTTCGTTGGCAGCAAACCGCTTAAATGTGTGGCAACTGCCGCCAATATGTGATGCACAATGCGGCATTGCTCGCTGCACTTATCAGCGTTGAGTACATCGATTGTCTTAGGTTGATGGGGTCGGGGGCGGTGTGGCGGGTTCATTGGCTTGAAATTGGAGAATGCACGCCCTTTGACTGCTTGCATAATGCCAGTCCCATTACAAGTATAACTAAATCTGTCGCACTGCAGCACAGATGATGATGACGATGATGATGATGTGATGTGATGATGATTTAAATGACAAAACCGCATATGGGAACGTACAAGGCATGTCAGAGTAGGACAGGGTGGGAAGGGAGGGAGTGGGAATGTGGAGTCGCAAACTAAGCGGCTTATTATGCGTGCGATCGCAAAAGTTGCGTGCTTAGCAGCGACATTATAAATTGAATTAAAATATTATATGCGCACCACAGAGTTGGCTGACAGGCCAGACATGGACTGAAGATAAAAACAAAAATTAAAAAAAAAGCTCTCGCATATCTAAACAAGCCAACATACATACATACATACATACATTGTTCCAACAATAAAAGCCAGCAGGCCAGCAACGGGTGTTGCCTTTGTTGCTTGTGGAGGCTCATCTGCTGCCCCGACCCCATAGCCCGCACATTAGGTGAAGCGATAAAAATGTAAAAATATGAACTCTTTTTGTTTTTGGGAACAATTGAGAGTAAAAGTGTTTGAAAGTAAAACTTTGTTTTGCCTTTTGATTTGATTTCGCTTTGTTTTGCGTGCCGTGTTGCATAAAATTTCAATTCGTGGCGAGGTCATAAACCATTTTCAATTTCATTTTCCTTTGGTCGCATGTGTCCCACTGTGCGTGTATGTGTGGTTCGGGGCACAATGGAGAGTTCAAGTTACGGTTGTGATTGCATGAGTGCGAAATATTGGGTAACAATAGATTCAGACATTAATCACGAAATACGCTTCACATAATAATTAAATGTATGCACACATCCATAGATAAATACTTGTACAATTAAAAAATTGAAGAGCACAATTGATAGCACTTCTGTCAAGCCCTTCTGTGTGACCCGTTGGATGTTCGATCCCCCGCACTCCCTACAGCTTGTTCGAACAGCTCGCTGCTACTGTCGCAGCTCACACACGTTGCAATCGAACTGCTCAGAGCGCGCAAAGGACGTTGATGAGAGGAACAACTGCGTAGGAATAATGGAATGGAATAATTATACACATAAAGAGTACAACGTTTTTCCAAGTGTTTTTACGTTAAAAAGCAAAAACCTAAAAGATGTGAATTTCATTTAAAAAAAAAAAATTAAACTTGAGCGAAGAAGCGGTATTAATATGAACTCGATAACTAACCGACAGTTAGTATTTAAGACCGATAGCATTTAAGTTGTTCCGATGAATGAACTGGAGGATGAACGAATCACTTGTAATTGAGAACCTCGAGAGAGCAGACGCAAATTAAGTAGATCGTTAAAAAAATATAACCAATCCTAATTAACTCAACAAAACGTATCAATTTAAAAAAAAAAAGAATTGAGAAATAATAAATACCATTATATTGTTGTTGTTCTTAAGTGTGAAACAATTTAACACCACAACTACAAGGTTTGCTTTCAGCAATATGAATATCAATTATGAAAATAATATTTTCGTGGCATCCGAAAAAAAAGAACAGTATTCCAAATTTAAGCAAATATCTTCTACCATGGTTTGGACTATTTGGACGAATCTGTATCTGTACATTTGACTTATGATATGATATAAAACTAAATAATAACCTTAATAAAAAGCAGAAACAATCAAAAGGACTACAGAGATATAGATATATTACAGAAAAGAAAAAGGTAACGAATTGTAAAAAGAAGACTGATGGTTACATGAAAAAATATATTTATCCAGCTCCAGATGAAGCAACATCGAGTTGTGAGTAAAGCAAAGGTAGGATGGGGAAGAAGAGTTAATTAAGAAGACACAATAATAAGCGATTGAGAAGATTTAAAGACATGAATCCCTCACTAAGGCTTTGCTTAGCAGCACGCTAACAGAATCTTCTTGAATAAATTCATTTGAAGAAGGATGTAAGCTAAAACGATTTTCAACCTTTTTCAGAAACTACAGCACACTTTTCACTTCTTTCGTATAATCTAAAAACTATGCCTCATTTATTTCATAAAATATGCTCTTGGAAAAGAATTGTTAAGTTAATACTCTTGCTATTTTATCGCCTTTAACTAACATATTAAACGATGCTTACAGTAAGCCGGACTTTCATTTGGAAGCCTCGATCTAATGGCAGTCGGTTTTAATTAGGTTGATTAATAAGTTAGGAGCTGAATGTCTTAAGCTATAGCAGTCATGCGATACAGTGACCCAAATCGAATGGTCATTTGCATGCTGAAGAATCGTAAAAGAGATACATGGATAACCAGTTGATGGGAGAGAGCGGAAGCGGATGCGGGGGGAGATCGTTTGGGAGAATTGCGAAGATCGTTTAGCTGATAAAATGGGAATGCTAATTGCTTAAACTGCGTCGTAATCCGCAACATTTATACAAGCCACTTACAACCACTTGACATACTCCAGTCGCACCACTCACTGGTGTGTGAGCGCACCCCCTCCCCCGCTGGGATTGCCGGCAATCTCTGCGCTCTGCTGCGTCGAGCCATCAAAGCATTTCTCACTGCATTTATGCTGATTAAACGCAATCAGCAGGCATTTGATGGCTAAATACTTCCCCTGCAGCCAGAGCCGTAATACTCGTAATACGGCCATTAAATGGAGGCCCGAGCACGGGCCCGTCTCCAAGCGTCGTGTGTGGACAATTTTCTTGGAAGCCGTCGGCGGCGACGACTCAAGACACTTACTCGTCCATACTAGGCAGCTTTTTCGGGTCACCGCACGTATTGGCAACAAAAGTGGCAAAGCGGCAACGGCTCCGACTCATGTGGGTGCGCATTGGAGCTGCCGGGGCCAACAAAGAGCAAGAGGATTATGATTGTTGTTGCTGCTTCCGCATGACGTATACACTATGAATGTTACTGTTGTTGCTTTGTTGTTGCTGCCGCATTAGAAAGTGCCGGCAATGTCGTTTGCCCCGTCACTCTCTGCTATTTAGACGCACTAAGCAGGCTAGCGTGTTAAGCATTATTACGAGCATGCGCAAAAAATTATGAAGCCGAAGCGGCAACATAATGTTGCATGCGTCGCGGCCGCAGCGAAGCCAGCAGTAGCTGCAACCTATGAAGGCGCCAAAACAGCAAAACAACTCTTTGCTCATCAATGTTTCCCAATTAAATGCAGATTTTCACTTAATGCTGCTGCACTGCCCGGAGTAGCAAATCTAATGGTATGTTTATGTTTAATAACCACAACAACGGCAACAACAAAAACAAAAACAAACAAAAAAAGCAGAAACCCATGTTGTTGTTTTCACCTGCGACCAAAAGCCACCAAACGGCCAAAAGCAACAAATTACCAAACAGCAAAAGTTGTAAAAACTTCCGTTTTATGTTGTGGCAACAACTTCTGCTTTTTGTTGTTGTTGCTGTCGTTGTTGTGGGCAAAAGCAACATGCGACAATGGCAGGGACAACAACAACAACCCACTGTGGTCAACACACAAGTAAGCAAAACAGAAATTTATGAAAAATAAATAAACAAAGTCATTAACTGTTTACTTTCAGAATTTTTCGAGCTCTACCTTCTGCGCATTCCCAAATAGTACAGACGTTCAGACAGACAGACAGACCAACAAGCTGACAAACGACAATTAATTTTTGAATCGCCAGATCAAGATCACATCTTACAAGTAATCCTTTTCATCTGTTCTGAGTACCTAGAGGAAGCCTTTTCCAGTCGTGCAAGCAATTGCTTAAATCGG